GCCGGGAATCGAACCCGGGTCTCCCAGATTCAGAACGGGGGCTTAATATATTATATTATATTAAGGCCCGGGTGTACTTGCATCTTTTGAACATTATCTCGATGTTTTTTTTTCATCTTTCGTCATCTGAAATTGTCAATTAAGTCCTGCATCATGCAGAAGTTTTGAAAAATTATGAATGAATAATTTAGAAAAAGTAGAAAAAATTCGTACTTTTTTCAAAGAGCATTTTTAATTTATATTCAGAATAAGTCGAATAACAAGAAATTGAAAAATGTATCTGATTTACGGTGACAAACGGCGGCATGTCACCCAATATCATTCAGAGAGAAGACTGATTTCGTAAATCTTTTCCCACACTGCACAGAGACATTTATTATGGAAAAGGCTCTTTGAAAAAAGTTGTAATATTTTGGAGAATTTTTTAATCACACTTTTATCACATAAAAATGGCAGATGACTACATACCACTGTTTTGAAAATTGAGATACCTAGCTGTCACTTNCTAATAGATAATTTGACACAGCGAATCAGATATTTGTAATTTCCACTTTTTTCAACTCATTCTGAATCTTAATTAAAAACACTCTTTGAAAGATTGCAGAATTTTTTCTTTTTTTTTATCATTTTATCATAATTTTTGGGAATTTCTACGTGACGAAAGATAAAAAAAATCCAGATAACATTTGAAAAATAGTACACCCGGGCCTTAATTAATTTTTATTGTTTTTTTTTCCAACTTTTCTTTGCGATTAGATTAAATTAAATTTATTGGATTCTATTCCCATAGTAGTATACAAATTGTGGGAACAGTTTTTCTCATTTTGATCAGCAAGAAAATAAAAGAGAACGATTTTTTATTTTTCTGAAAAATTTAAAAACTGTTTTTTTTTAAATGACGAAAAAATATCAATGTTTCCATTCTATGATCTAATTTCAATGGAAGAAAGTGAATAAAAGAACAGAGATACGTGATTAGCAAGAAAATAAAAATTTCGATTTTTCAGTGTCCCCGGAAAATTTTAAAATTGAATATACTTTTTCAAATGATGAAAGAAGACCCATCAATTCAATTTCTACCCTCACATTTTGATAAAATACATTAAAAAAATAGCAAAGAATAAAAATCGGAGATGAAAAATTTTATCGGATTAATATAATGTAATAATAATAATTGAATAACGTGGTTTGACTAGGAAAACCTTGGTATTCGCTACGTATTCGTAGATTCTGCATCGGGCTTTATTTTTCTGTAACTCCTTTAGTTTTTGAGAATAGAAATATTTGAGCTGCCAAAATTGTGAAAAAAGCACATCTTTGACATCCTTTCTAAAAAAAGCATGGGCAATATCTCCAATTTCTTACGTAAAATAATTTGAGATAATTCTAAATGTCTAAATTTTCTCAGAGTAAATAAAAATTGAGATACACTGTTGAAAAAATTTGGCTGAATCTTTTAGAATTTCTAGAAATTTCCAGGAAATTCAGGGAGTTTCTAGAAAATTGGAGAGAATTCAACGAGTTTCCAGAAAATTCGAGAGAATTCAAAGAATTTGCAGGAAATTCGAGAAAAAAGGAAAGACCATGGACGTATCCACGTACAATTACAGCTGTATCGAAGATGCAGCCGCCTGCAATTTTCCTAAATCTTTCAAATTTATCATTATGTCGATTGATGCTGGTGCAGCGCAGCGGTTGCGGCGTGACCAACGGAGTGTTAGAGTCATGAAAACCCCCATGAAAAATCATTCTCTCAACTAACCGGTACTTTGGTAGCACTCGGAGGTGTCGATGTAGCCGTAATATTCTGTCCACTTTTTCCGGCCTCGGGTTTCACGGCCGGTGCAATAGTTGTAGTTGTTGGTGCAGTTGTTGAATTAGAGGCGTTGTCTGTCGAGTATGTTACATTGGCTGTTGAACCGGTTCCTACTTTTATCAGTGGTGGATCATGAATAGAACCCGGTGGTACTGGCGAAGTTGTCGTTGAATTGGCTGCAGGAGTTGGTTCAACGTATCGTTTTTGCCTGGAATCATGGTGTACATCATCCAGCAGGACCACGTGCTTAATGATACTCTGGTTCTCGCCGATGGTAGTGTACTTGTATAAATCACCTGTGGACATTGGAGAAAGAAGTTCATCGATTGATTACGGAATTAATGGGGTTTAATAGGGATGATGAAGGTTTATCCGTTGGTTCAATTGAGTCAACGGTTGGTGGGAAGAACGAGACAAATCGAAAGGAGCACGCGATACGTTCGGTATTGGAGTAGTAGGAGCGCACACTGTTGGAGAATATAAAAAAATAGTAATAGTAATAATAAATTTGAATTTGAGACTTACGATCTCGGATGAGACCTGTGGAAGTCTCAAATTGAGACTTTCGAAAATCTTAAATTGAGTTCTGAAATTCTCAACTTGAGATTTTCTGAGGGTTTAGGTAAGACTTTTGAATACCTCGAGTTGAGAGTTTTCAAAGTTTCAAGTCGAGACTTTGAGAAGGATAAAATTGACTTTCAGAAAGATCAAATGAAGATTTTCAAGTCTTAAATTGAGACTTGCAGACATAAAGTTGGGAATTCCGAAAGTCTCACTTTCAGATCCTTGAAATCTCAAAATCCGAATTTTTTCTGGGTGACAAGTAATTTTCAGGAGATTGATATTAATTTCGATTTAGGAAGAAAAAATGGTGAAATTTCAAATTTCATGTAAAATTCAATGAAATCTTAAATTTTTAAGCAGCAGGAAGACGAGAATCCCTCACCTTACTTGAATTTTCAATCAAAACGTAAATATTTAGTACCAGATTAGGCAAATAGGCAGAGCGTAATTCATCACATTTCTAGAGATATCGTGAAAATAAAAACGGCGGCGATCAGACCATAGCGCGACCACTGACGGGTTAAAAAAAATCATGAAAAGTCAAGAGAAAATTGTAAGTTTAGGTGATTTCAGTTCTGAACATTCATGTTTATTTCAAAATTCAGGTAACTTGTGAAAAATCCGTCTTATCTCCAACGAAAAGTAATGAATTCTCTTGAATTCTCCATGAAACTTGAAATTCCATCCACATTTTTTTCTTAAATCAAATCCAATATGACTTACACAAAATTACAACCAAATTGTCGATGAAATTTCTCTTTTTTTTTCTAACAGCGTAACCGTATGTCACAGGTCTTCCCTAATACAACTTTTTTCCCATGATAAAAAGGTACATCTCATACAAGAACGCGTCCGCACGACGAGATCATTTTAAACCCAGTTTAAAACGAATCACTCACAATTGTCCTCCCTCTCCACGTCCCCCTGTTGCACACATCGCGGATATTTCTCAATGGGTTTTGGCTAACGCAAATGCTCAATGCACTCTAAAGACGAACAGAAACGTCGGTTGCTATTCAATAAGAACCTGAATGCCCATACCCGGTCTTCATTTCTTCTTTCATTTTTCCGGGGGAAGGAATTTTTTTTCATTGTCCCAGCTGTTTTTGCTCAATTTTATTTTATGAGTACCACCATGCGTGGTCGATCATGAGGGTATAAATAAAGTGAGCTAACACAGCGAGCGGTCGATTCACTCTCGAGAAGGATCGAACAAGGCACCGTTGGGTGCAACGGCCCACTTAGTGCACAGGAGATGCGCGCATGCTCGTGAAGAACTCCAGTTTTTAGGGAAAACGATAACGAGTTGAACCGTAAACTGCTCGCACTCATTACGTTATTGCGGAGATTTTTTCGATCTAGCGCTTGGACCGGGGTGTTGATGCCCTTTTCTTGTCAGATTCGATATTCCTTTTTTCAATTAATTGTTTATAATCATTCTCATAGGAAAAAGCACTTTAGAGTGTGAATGTACGGAATTCAATGGTTAGTAATAGTCTGGTAAAAGTGCGTGCCCACACTGCTATCAATGTTTAGTTAGTTCACAGGGTAATTCAATTAATCTGCTGTTCATCTCATCGATATAATTCCGTGCTTAGAATATTGTCATCTCGTGTTTTCGCACCAAATTAAAAATTAAAACTTAAGGATGTTTAACCTGTCTTGCTCTTGTGGACAACTCAGTTGAAAATAAAAATACAATTGACTAAATAAATCATTCACGTTACAAATTACTTTTCCTATTCTAAAAAGAACATTCACCTAAAGTCGATAACTATCGATATCTCGCAAGCCTGTCACGCTTATTCCTCATTGGTTCCAGTCGTCTGAGGCGGCAAATGTAATTAATGATTAATTTAATTTTGAGATTTTTAATTATGACTGTTACAATTACAGCGCGCTGTAGCGCGCGTTCCATCTCGTTTAATTAAATTAGAAGTGTTATGGCGAACTTTTCCGGTCTCAAAAATAATAATTAAAGAAATTGTTCATAAATAATGGAGGACCTGTGACTGCGGTGGTACCAGTCGAATTTTGATCGGGCCGCATTCTATAACATTCTAACTAAATCTTTACTTAAGGGTGCCAAGTGAATTTGAAAAAAGATTCAAAAAACATTTTTTCTTTCGCTCCATTATTGGAGAAATATTTATTCATCCATCCGACGAAATTTCAAACCCGCAACCGGAACTAGACATCGAGAAAATAAATGCGGAAAATCCTCTATTTCGCGTGACGAACCTCGAGAAAGCATGGGATCAAATGGGTACGGCGGGTTGAAATATCTCTCTTATTCACCCCGGTACCCCATTGTTTTTTGTCGCCATCACATTGAACACATCATTCCCCATATCTTCAAATTTTTTCAAATTTTTCTTGAGTTCCTAGGGGGTTGAAACGTTCAATTTAATCAAAACTCCATAAGAGGCCGTGTATAAGACTGATTTTGTTTATTTAATTTCTCGATATCCATAAGTTCTAAAATTTTAAAATTGTCACCGATGTTCACCATCTGTTTAATACTATTAATTTAAAAAATTATAACTTTGTTGGTGAATGTCAATTTTCAAGGTCATCGCCAAATTCACTTGGCACCTTTAAGGGGAGACTGCTATGAGTTTTAAAACTCGCGGGCGATTGGAGTGAGATTTTTCATACATTGAAGGTTGATAATATATATGTCTAAAAACGAATAATTACGGCAAAAAAAATAATTGTTTATTGTTCGTTTGCCCCGCACACGCTTAAAATGTCAAAAATAGATCAGGGCCTCCAATTTTTGAGCTACAGATGTTTATTTTCTTTCAAAATTTTTGAAGAAATATGTACTGTAATAATTACGAATTAGTTTTTTGAAATTCAATTCAACACAGCCAATTTTGTTTTGTTTAAAATAAAAATGTGCGACATTCATGTAAAATAGGCAGAAAAATTATCCTTAAAATATTTAAAATATATTCTCGATTCTTTCAGACACATTTTGCGGGCTATTTCACATGGATGGTGCACTTTTTTATTTAAAAAATAACGAAATTAGCTGTGTAGAAGTTGAATTTCAAAAAACTAATTCGTAATTGTTATTGTACACATTTTTTCAAAAATTTTGAAAAAAATGGAACCACTGTAGCTCAACAATTGGAGGCCCTGGACTATTTTCACCATTTTAAGTGTCTGTGGGACAAACCAACAATAAATAATTAATTTTTTTGCACTAATGATTCATTTTTAGACGTATATAATCGATCTTCAATGTATGAGAAATCGCAATCCAATAGCCCGTCACTTTTAAAACTCATAGTAGTCTCCCCTTAACTTAATCTTAACTTGAATCTTTCTACTAGAAAGCCAATCGAATTTCCTAGTGAATCCCTTACGTTTTGTATTTAATTTTTTTCCTCAGTGGAATTTTGTGAAAATTAATTGCGCAGAACGAGGAAAAAAATGAAGAAATTAGATGAAACACCTGGAACTCAATATTACTGACACCTGCATTTTCATCTAAGAGAGTTTAGAATCATGAATACATGCTGAAAATTCTCAAATCGTTTGCCGCAATTAACGCCGAGTCATGCCTTGATTTACGACTAAGAGGAAGCGAAGTAATGAAGGAAGAGTTTTTCACATTCGAACGTTAGCTCAAGTGTTTCAAGAGTATATCGAGTGGAGTGTTGAGATGAGGAATCGGTACTCGAAGAAGACAAGAGTGGAGTAAAGAATCCCTATCTATCAGTCTATCAGATATTTGTTTTCATATTTGGTTTCATCGTTCTTCCTTTTCCGTTATTGCGGGAATAGGGAACTTGCATCGAACTCAGCTGCTACCCATAGATAACTGAACAAAAAGAGTTACAGTTAGAAATTTTTTGAAATTTCATGGAAGATATTCCAGTAAATCTCATGGGAGTGGAATTGAATCGGATTTTGGGAAAAAATAATTTAGGTAGGAAGATTGCCGATTATTTGGTTAATCGATAATCCCTTTTAAGAAATTGGGAATATTCACTTAATCGAAAATTCAAACCATTAATATTATATTAGTTTTAAATTTTAATAAGTATATGCAAACGTTTATCATTGTAAGTCGCAAATCCTTTTAATATTGAAGAAATATAATATCGTCATCCCTGGTTATGAAATTTCAGGTTTTAAGTCGAATTCACGGAAATTCATGAGTTTTCAGTTTGAGTGAGATGCAAATTTCACAACGTGATTGAACTTTCAGGGAAACATGAATATTTAGAAACAAAATGACATGAATTTTCAATTTTTCCCTGAATTTTCCTGATTTTTCTAAATTTTCACAGAATAATTGAACTGAAAAATCAAGTATTTTATTGATTTTCAGATCATTTGAACAGAAAATCAACGGAATATTTGATTTTTCAATCCCAAGATTTCCTGAGATTTCAGTGAAACTTGAACACGATAAAAATTTCCGGAATTTCGCACGGAAAATGCAGACGAAAATTGTTAACAGTGTAGTATTAATTAACGAGCAATTTTTCTAATGTTCAAAAATAAAAAATTGATCATTTAAGGCCGACACTTGAGATTAAAAAATTGAAAAAAAATCATGCGAGTTCCCTATTGTAAGTGTTGCATCTTCATTAATTGTCAATAATATCGATTGGCTCATGAGCTGTTGTCATATATGGCTGCCGACTTTCGTGCCATTCGGTGTCAGGTTGCCATAATTATTTCCTGTCAGGAGAATTATCGTCGTCTTTAATGA